TGACCATAAACTGACTCACTGCAATGGATTCTGGAACCCGCCCGGGGCCAGGGCAGAGAGGAGCGGGCTTTGGAGAGCAGTTAACTTAAAACATTGCTCCTCTTTTTCCTAGGAAGCATGTTTGGAATGTGCAAAGGATCTTTTCAAAGCAAGCAGAGCAGTCCTCACACAGCAGAGAAAATAGCAGAGAACTGTAAGCAGGGACAACAAGCAGTTGTTATTTGTTATCTATTCCTCACTTCTGCCTCATGTGCTGCTGGCAGGACTTCTGTGTATTAAATTTTTTGGAACAGAAGTTTATAATGGCATCAAGGTACCTCACAGCCCTGGAAGGGAAAGAAAAAACCCCAAAACATTTACTACCTTGTTAAATTAGTTAATCAATTTCACATATGCATGAAATTTTGTAATCTGTGTTTAACAGAATGACATTTTCTTCAGGTTGGAAGTCCTAATGCTGCTCGGATTTCAACTCGGATTGGGAAGGAGTACATCAATGTCATGAACATGCTGCTTTTAACCCTCCCTGGCACTGCTGTAACTTACTATGGTGAAGAGATAGGCATGCAGAACATTGCATCAGAAAATGTAAGTGAAGAGCATGTTAACTCTGGTCCTGTTGCTGTTTAGTTCCAAGTAACAGAACACTCAAAAACACAAGAACTTTTGTTTTGCTAACCAAACCCAGTCATTCTCACTGCTTAAAAGGTTTTTCATGTTCCTCATGGCAAACCTCTGTACAGCATGTGGAAATGGCCAGGCCAGAGACCAGAACCAAGGCCTGGATGTGTGTCTGAACTGGTAGGCTTCAGTTATGGATGCTGATTTCCGTCTTGCTCCGGATCAGTCTTGCATGGTTTCCAGCAGTGGTGCTTCAGCAGAAGGGACAGCACGTGCCAGCTCTGGGCCCAGCCAGGGCGTAGGAGAGGCACTGCAGACACATGAGGGAAAATAACTGAGCTGTCTCCTTCCTCCCGTGGAAGTGCCTTCATCATCATCATCATGCCAGAGTCCATTATTTCCTGGCTGTTATTTAAGGGAAATCAGGGTTCTGATTCTGTCCCAGCCACGGCTGTCATGAGTGTGCCCAAACTCAGAAAAAGGGATCTGCACGAAGGGAAGGTTGCCTGGTGGCAGGCAGAAGTGGCTTTTGGTCATCATGCATAGTCTGTCCCAAAAGGGAGCAGCTCATCTCTGCCTCTCCTGGCTGTATTTGAGCACCATGAGAACATGGTCCTATGGCAGATGCTGCTTTTCCTGTGGAAAGCCTGTTAGGGAATGAGGCAGCTGCTGGCAGTGTTAGACATGGCATTGGCTAGCTTTGTATCAAAGGGACAGAGGTACTTAAAGCACAGGATCCTCTCCAGATTTGTCTGATTCAGATATGGGGAAGTGATTCTCTGATTTAAAAGGAAACCATTTCCTCTGAGAAAACCCCAGGTCAAAGCATCTTCTGCATTTTCTTGCTGCTGCTGATTACTGCTGACAGAGTGATTCTCTTAAGAAAAGTGGCTCACCCTGAGCTCCTCAGGGTTCACTCTCTTTTAGTGGCTACCCTGTGGCTCAGGGCTTTGGAACAAATGCAAACCCACCCTTCACTCAGGCTGGAGAGGAAGGCTCCCTGATTAATGGGTGTCTTAGGAAAATGGAGAGTATTTGCTCAGGATTATACAGGCTTTAGTCCCAGCACTTCAAACACTTCAGGAGACACTGAAAGAGGTAAAGATGAGAGGCAGTGTTACCAGTGTTGAAAACTTAGGATTTTTTTTCCCTGCTTTTCAGAATATGCTAAAAAGGAGAAACCCATTATTTATAATGTCACAAAGCAAAGTGACAATTTCTTTTGTTAGGCTGCTGCTCTGACAGATTGTATTGAAAAGTGTCCTTTATATGAAAAACAGTTTTCATGGAAAACAAACACTCAAAGTATGTGCAAAATATTTTATGCCCTCTTATATCATTAAATTTAAGTGTCAGATCTTTTGGCAGCTCTTCAGTAACAATGAGGAAGCTTTTTCAGAATTTTTCTGAATTCTTCAAAATGAGAACTTCAGACTTTTTCTACATCAACACTTTTTAATCAGCTAAAAGCCAGTTTTCAATAGTTTTGCACTTGGAAATAATAATTTTACCTTTCTAACACAAACAGTCCTGTCAAAATTGTACCCCTTGCAAATGTAAGCTTGAAGAGTTCTGGGGTGAAAAGTGCAATACTTAGAAAATAACAGACACTGAACAGCAATTACTTGTTGTTTACTGTTATTTTAATGACATCTCTTCTAAGGACTCATTACCTCACATATTCACTCTCTGCATGTCTAGATATTTATCAGAATATCTTGGCTGCCATCAGTAAACTTTTATCCAACCATCTGTTGCAAAGGATGACAACTCTAGTAAGAGTCATTTGGGAATTCCACATTTTACCCAGCAATGCTGTATCTGAGATGATCCCCTCCCTTCCATTTCAGGAACTGTCTTGGTTCATTTTCTCCATAGATTTGGACCACAATTACATCCTCATTATTTTTAACTTAAACCAAAGAAAGCAATACTGAAAGGGAGATAATTTGGGAGAGGTGAGAACATGCTATTCAAAGAATAATTTTTAATATGCCAATCACCACTTCTATTTTCTAGGCAACCCTCCCAGAGAAATCCCCCATGCAGTGGGATGGAAAAGCTAATGCTGGCTTTACTGAAGGCAACAGCAGCTGGTTACCTGTTAACTCTGACTACCAAAGTGTAAATGTGGAGGTAGGTACCTACATGTGTAACAAACTAATGGTCTCAAAATATTTTAATGTATCTATTTTGCTCTGGCTTCCTTTTAGTAGCGAGCATTGGTAGCAGGAACAAACTCAAGGCAAAAAAAAGGCACTGAATCCTCACAAGTTTTATTAGAAAAGGAAATCCTTGCACAACAAGGAGCCTACTTCATCTATATTCATTTAAGCAGAGTAACTACAATTATGATGTTGATGTTGCAATTTGGCTCTTTAACATCCTTTTAATCCTTTTGATATTAAATTGAAAACTGGTCTCTTTTCCCCCATTTCTACTGCTATAGAAAGCACTGGTTTTGTAACAAGAACTTGACATAGACTGACTCTAACGTAAGTAGAGCAGTGAATCAAACAGATTTTGCTGACCTCCAGTGCTGCCCAAAATTGAAGGCAGAAAAAAAATCTACGATAGCAGAAATAGAAAATGTGAAATAAACCCAGTGACTGCAGTAGACTGGACTCAATGAAAAAGATTCAGTGTCAAGCTCTGAATGGCTGTGGCTTTCTCCTGAATCAAGAGTACTGAAAGGAAGCTGGGGGAGGAAGCAATCGCTTTAGTGCTGGGGAAATGTTACACTTAATAAACTCTGTGACTGCCACTCCACACGTGCCACGAAGTGCACAGAAAAAGCAGATTTTCAGTGGCATTTGCAGACAGATTTGAAGAGGGGTAATTGTCAGCACGGAGTTCCCAGCAGCCTGGGTGGGTGTGAGAAGGGAGCTGTGTTTCCTCCCTCAGACCAAGAGCTGACCCTCTGGTGCTGACTCTTGCAGATGCAGAGCGCCTGGCCCAACTCAAGCCTGGGTTTGTACAGAGCGCTGACTCTGCTGCGGAACGAGGAGCTGCCCATGAACCGAGGGTGGATGTGCCACGTCTGGAATGACAGTGACGTGTTCGTGTATGTCAGGGAGCTGGATGGGATGGACAGAGTCTTCATGATGGTGCTCAACTTCGGCCAGGAGGCAACAACAGACCTGCAGGCCAGAGTCCCTAACCTTCCCTCTGAAGCTGTAGTGAGACTCAGTACTCATTTTAGCAATGCTGGCAAAGTGGTCAATACCAAACTAATTAAAACTGAAATGGGAGAAGGCCTCGTCCTACAATATAAAACAGCAAAGCCTGTTCATACTATGGAAGCTTTTCAAGGGAAGTGTTTTGTGGCAGAAAAAGCTTGTTATTCCAAGGCCCTCAATTTACTCTATGTGAACTGTTAAGTAGAGGAGTAGAATACCTGTGCTTTCATATTAATTTAGAAGATATTAGCTTCAGGGAAATGCTAAAAATGCTCCATTTTCTTCAGCTTTTAGAATGTTATTTGTATACAAAATAAATGTCCTGAAAATCAGATACATAATTGTCTTGTATCTGTATTTGTGATGAAAAGGAAAAATAATGGTATCAACTCCCCCTTAGGATGTGTGGAGAGGAAAAGTAAACCTGTTCTAAAAACTGTCCTGTTTAAGCATGTATTTTTGGGAGGAGAGAGAATAGCTGCTTTCTGCCTGCTGACCCTGAAGGTTGCTGGTGTCCAAGTGCTCCTGTGGAATCCCAAGCCTCTGGCAGTTCACTGTAACTTTTTAGAAGTCTGCAGATTTGTAAAAATTATTCCAAAGGGATAGCCCTATATCCCCCTAAAACAGGGGAACACAAGCAGGACTGGTGTATATTGTTGTGATGTTTCACCTCTTCTCTCAAATCTAGTAACTCTGATTATCCTCAAAGTTAGTAAGAAAAAGAACAAAATGTAGCTAATATCTAATTCCACACTCCAAACTGCATTTCGAGTTGATTCTCCCCTTCCTTGCTGAGTTGGAATATGTTTGCATTCTCTTATTTTTCTTCCTGCCCTAAGGCTGAGGTGAGGGGTGTGTACTTTAGTTCAGAGGAAGCAGCTGAACCAACCCTACTGAATGCCAGCACAGGTGCTCTGGTTTGCACCTGCTGCACCTGCAGAGGTTGATGTGGCCCTGGGTGTGCACCACATATCCCTTTTAACAAGCAAGGCCCAGCAGATCTGTGCCTTGCTCAGAGGGCAGCTAAGCCATTAATCAGGCTGCTTTAATTTTACCCTCTGGAAATACTCCGGCATCTTCTGACACATTGATCTTGTCCTCCTGAGAGATTTGGCACCTCCTTCTTAAGATTACCAGGTAAGGGAACGGAAAGATTTTTAATGTATTCAGATCAGAGTTCTGCTAAAACTCCTATTCTTTGCAGTTTGCTCAGTCCCACCACATGATCAGTGCAGCATGGCAGCTGTGCAGAGAGAGAGGGCAGCAACCCCCATCACCTATGTATGGGGATTAGTCCTGGAAGCAGTGAGACTTGGATGTCAGATGCTTTGGAGGAGTTCTGCTGCCTCGTGTGAGATGTGCCTTGGACAGGAAGGCTGTGCCCAGTGCCTGTGGCTCTCCTGTGGGGCTCTGTGTGCTGCTGCTCTGCTGGCTCAGTGAACAGAGCTGCTGCACAAACTCATTTCTGCTGGCAGCTGCTTCTGCACAGCCTAGCAGGGCAGAATTCCAGTTCTTGCTCTGTATTTTTGTATGACAGTGCCACACCCAGCTCTGTGTGCTGGTGCCCATAGAGCAGGGATCCGAGAGAACAGATCCTCTGGAGACCAATCTCTTGCTTTCCATACAAATCCAAATATGACCCTAAGTTTCTCAGGTGATCAGTGTGTCTGGGAGTTATTTGCAGGATTTGCTGTGATGTTGGGGATGGCACACTTCCTCAAGTTCTCTGTTCAGAAAAGCAAGGTGTCTTGCAACCTAAAATAATGAAAATATTTTATTACAAAGTAAAGTTCTTTGCACTCTAAACATTCAGGCTCTTGTGCAGCTATTCTAGTAATCTTCCTTTTCTATAAAATGCTTAGAAATACCTTGTCCCAAGACAGCATGGAGCTTTTCCTAAAAGAATTCCTCTTGGGAATAACTGCCACCACCACCAAATTAACATTTTCTAGGATTTGTTAAAATTAAGAGTCATAAAGTTAGTATCCAACTGTGACAGTCTGAGACATCAGTAAAAATATGTTTGGTCTTGGCAATATTTTGCTTTTAACAAGCATGCTTGTAAAAAGTGCAAATTCTTGAAAGCTAACTGTAATAGCTTTGATAGCACCGATCATGCATTTCAAAATGTAAAGATCCAACCCATCATGTATGTTTTACACAACAAGGAAGATAAGAGTAAATACTATGACAGTTTCAAGCACTTAATACTCTACAGAGCAAGACTCTTCCTGCTGGAATGATGTTTTGCACAACTTGGAACCTTTCATTCAAATCTCCTAGCACATTACAGTGGGAATTGAACACTACTTTAAGGCTATTTCAATAATCTGACTCTGTCACTCTCTTTTTTATCTGTAAAAGTATATATATGTATAAAAATAGATATAATTATATATAAAGATTGCTGGGTTTTAAAATTACATATATATATGTAAAATCAGCAGTTGCTCTAGCAGTTTTTCTTTATAGTTTAACCATACATTCAATGCCTGCCCAACTACTGAGGCTGAAGTATTCCTTGAGGGGGAATATCCCCTGCACCATGTTATGGAGCTGTGCAGTAAAGGGACCATACCTCATTCAGTGAGTGCTCCCAGGATGAATCACAATGACTGCCATTTGTCTGGACATCTAGGATGATGTTAGGAATCCAATTTCCTGGAACAATGAAGCTGATGATCATTTTACATTGAATGGACAAGGAAAAAATTAAGTGGGTATGTGAATTGTTTTAAGGATAGCTAGTTCTCCTTGTCCTGACAGAATTTCAATTATTCCTTAAGAAAAAGAGAATTGTAGAGGGGCTTTCTGAATGAATTATTTGTATTTCTAATAACTGCATATTTAGAAAATATTAATCTATTTAGTGTGTTTGTTCTCTCTGAGTATTTTTGGAAAGACATGCTCTTTTCTTCCTGCACAAAGACCACAACAGCAACTGCAGCACCGGCTGCAGTTTCTCAACCTCTGCAGTTGTGCTGCTCAGAGACAGGGCATCATGCAACGTAGAAAAGGTTATCCAAGATCTCTTCTGGTAATGATGGTAAAAGCCTCTCCCCAGACTGGATCATACAAGAAATTTGTCAAGCTTGAATGTACCTTTTTCTGGAAACTCCTAAAGCTAGGCTAAGTTTCAGGTATAAAAGCACCTGTGCCTTGGCCTTGCTGTCACTCTAGCTTGGACTAAAAACCTGCAGCTTAACAAAGTGAGAAAAATAGGTTTTTGTATAGCAGCAAAAGTAAGATTTTTCTCCAAGGGTTGCTGAGAACTGCAGCCTGGTCCTGTCAGCAGCTGGAGTGACAGTATGGGTTCACTCTGCACTATCCAACAACTGCCCCATGTGCAGGCCTAGGAAACAGTGAGCCCCCTGACAGGCTTCCAGTCTTTGGTTTTGCATCTCAGAGAGTGTTCTGAGTCTGCTGTGGAGCTGGTGATATGGGATTGTGTTTGAATTCATTTAAGGAGGAGTCAACCTCTGTGGTCTTTAATTTACATGACTATTAAATTTTGGTTAACTCCATTTATCTGTGATATTCTTATCCTTACCTTTCTCACTTGTTCTGCTGGCATGATCTAGTGCAGCCTTCCTGAGTTTCTGAACATACTGTAAAATTCCTGTGAGTGGTACCCGTTCATCATTTTCATACGCCGTGATAAAAACTGATGGATAGCACTGAGATCAAAAACCAAAACCAGTCAAACACTTGACAACTGGTCTTTCTCAAACAGTGACACATTTTTCTCTTACTGTACAACTTGTTAGGGTTTATTTAAGAACCCATCTATTTCATAATTACTTAGTGTTTCCTAAGAGTTTTATCACTCTAACTGCAAGAAGTATTTTAGTCTGAAAAATGACTTCACAGTTGGGCATAATCTACTTGCAAAAGGTCATAAAAACATCCTCTTCCCACTGGTAAAGGCCTGATGCCTGTCTGCTTGCTGATGATTGCAAAAAAAGAAAAAAGGGAGTAATAATCATGGCATAGTTTACCTTAGAACAATAGTTGAAGTTTATTTTTGCAATCTTTCTGCCAAGAAATTGGTTTTTAAATAGTAAGAATTTTACTTAATGAAGCTGCACAACACAACTAACACACTGTCACAAAAGAGAGATTTCCCTTGAGATGACAATGTCAAAGCTATAGGTCCTCTTCCCTTTCAGTGTTTGTTTGTTTTAATACCTCTAGCAAGGTATTAAATCAGTAGAAAATACCCCCACCTCCACTGGAAAGTACCTCAGGTGGAGGTAGTTTCCATCAGTGGAAAATACCTCCAGTGGAAACCTCCTTCCTCCTGTGTCTGCAAAAAAGCCAGCAAAACAGAGTAGAATGTCAAAACTACCACAAAAGAAGGCATTTTGCATGTTGAGACTTGCTACACAATAATCTATTACTTCCTGAAAGTCCTAAAACAAAAGCAAGTTTGGAAATTCATATCATTTAGGAGAAGGCATTGGGTTAATTTCAGTAGTCACTTGTGACTCCAGCTATTGTTAAGATTATTACTGAAATAATTTATATTGGAGGTTTTCTAAAAATTTCAGTGATCTACTTCTGGTTTTCTCATAAACCACTACACTTTATGCCTGAAGTATTCTGCACAGAAAACATAGTTTTACCTGTGGCTTAATATTCTGGTATGGGCAATAGCTTTTGATATACTTCATACACTTTTCATCTTCTAATGGATTTCCCCATTCTTCTTGTTCCACAATTGTCAGTGGGAGATGAGTTTTCATCATTGTATTTAGAACATCTACGAAAGGAGCCTTAGAAGTCATTAAAAAAAAAAAGTTGGCAAATAGGACAGAGGACCTTGAATATCTGAGTCAAGATGTTCTCAAACAAAGGAGGAGAGTGAGCTTTGAACTGGAATGTTTCCAATTCTGAAAGTGGTACAATAGCACAGATAACACAGTATGATGTTATGATGTGTACAAGGTCTGCAGCAGCTCACCTGTAACACCATGGCTCTGAGCAGGGCTGGGTCAGTGTTGCACAGGGCTCCAGCCAGAACTCCCCCAGCACTGGCAGCTGCCAAGGCTGTGTGCTTGGGCTGAGAAAATCCCTCTTGGTGCAGCAGCCTGATGCAAGCCCTGAGGTCATGGAGACCTTTGAGTTTGTTATGCTGACATCCATCTCTGTGCCAGCTAAGGCCCTGCTCTCCTCCACCCCTGAAATTTAATGCAATTCAAGTTGGAGTCTCTTCAGAAAACATTACATGGCATAGCTTCAGATAACCAAAGAACAGCAGCAGCCACAGAGTGGCACATCACAGTTTGCTTTCCCAATTAACTCTTCTCTGCTTTTGCCTTTACCCTTCTTTATGGCTAAAAGAGAAAACATGAAGGTAAAATAAATCCAGTCATGATGACTGGTGAAAATACTACCTGTAGAAGGGCACACGTGCTTGTGTCCTGGAATCCACAGGAAAAGCAACACTTTAGGAAATTACATTTTCATTGTAGGCAATACAAAATCAGATAATATTATCTTTTTATACAGGAAACTACAAACATATTTCCAATACTTCCATTACTAACACTATTACTTATTAAAAACAGTAGAATAGTATTTCTGAGCTCCACACCAGACTCTCAGGATTTGTCTTCCACTTAGCTTAAATTATGAGACTGTTAGAAAGTTGGGTTTGGGTTTTTTCCCCCCCCTAATCTGTGAATTTCAAATGCTACTTGAAATGTTATGTTTTGTAGTATAGAATTATAAAAATAATTTATACCTCTTTCTATGCAACCACAATTTTGGTTCTAAGCCACCTGAAGCTTTTTCTTCTGGTTTCAAGTTTAAAGTGGATTATTTGATTAGCTTGCCATCTTTGGATGACAAATCCATCTTCATGTAGGACTGACCTGCATCTTAAGATTCTTAGTGTGGTGTGAGGAAGAACAGCACAATGCTTGCCACTGAGTACAGCAGACTGAATATATTTGCTGAATTTGTTTTGGGACTGGTATTTCCAACAATTATTCATTCCTCCCCTTGCCTCCCCTCCCTGAAGTGGTTCTTTTGTTATCTTCCTTAGCTACTGAAAAAAATTTGAAGCCTGTTGTGCACTGCAGTTTGATAAAACTGGTAGATTTGTAGCTAAACTGGAGACAGATGATTTAGCCAATAAAAGAATAAGGGCTGCAGGTTAAATGCTAAGTTGTTGCTGTGGAATGTAAATGGCTTTCAGAAGACACAGACTGAGCATTAGCACACAATGCTCTCAGAAGGAGAGGGAGATAACATGTCATGGCAATTTCAGCATCTCACCAAATTTTGTCTTGAGCAAAGATGAGACAAGAAGTAATGAGACTTGAAAAGATTAAAAGGTACATACAGCCATCATGTAGATTTAGGAAACCTAAAATGTAGTGTGCTTTTGTGTTGTTTTCCCTGAGGTAAATTTAAAAACTACCTAAATAAAAAAAAATCTAAGAAAATATGAATAATTGGGTAGAGGTACACACACACAAAAAAAAAATTGGTGCATCTTCAGTTGTACATGAGCAAATACTTGTGTATCCTGCAAAATAAAATCTTATTTCCATTTTATATTTGACTTACCTAACATGGCAATATGCCAATATCCAACCCTCTTCAATTAACATCAGCTTCTCTTCTTTAAAGCTCATGTTCAAATCTATGCCATAAGCTCCATATACATGAACTAGAAGTGGTCTCCTGTGTAGTTCTTTAGAATTCTTATTATGAAAAACTGTAATTGGCACCAAAGTTTCATCCTGGAAAAGAAGGAGTAGTTTTACAATAAGGGACATTGCAGAAATCTCAATGACACATGGCAATGAAAACTTCAATTATTTATTTTAAAATGTGTTTTTTTGATTACAGTAATTTTTTTTCACTTAGAGTGTACAAAGCACTCTTGAAAAATAAAGCCTGAGACTGAACCTCTGCTGTGTGGGCTTAGAGATGCAGAGTATAAATTCATTTAAGTGCAACACCTGAGGAGTTTTTAAAATACCAAAGCACCCAAGTCTTCCTTCCCCCTTTAACACCAAGAATATATGTTATTAACAATAGAGTTTACCACTTACCACAGTACAAACTCTTTATTAACATCTCCAAATTTTTAAACTCAGGCTGTTAAAACTTTCCTTTCTCGATCTGCACTGTGCAGCTGGTTGTGGGGTGTTCTTTTCAACAGCTGGCACCTTTTTCACTTATCATGTGGAGTACAATACCATTACATCAACTAGCAATTCTCACTTATACTAAGCTTCTTGACTCATCGTGTGCTGTTATCTCCTGTGGAATACCCAGGTTAATGGAAAAAAAAAATCACGACTCTTTCTTGTTCTTCTCTGTAGCACTGAAGAAAACACCCACTGTTTAATAACTATAGCACCAACTGCTCTTTACATTTTTTAATCTCTGTTCCCTGCCAAATGCACTTTCTTTAAATGGGTGGGGAGGAAGGAAAGAATAAAAGGAATGGGAAAAAGACTGAAAAATCTTACCTTGCTTTTAGCTAGTAAACGTGTAGTGTGACAATTCGTAATAATTGGTACCTCTTGCACAGCTTGCTCAATGAGATTATTTTCTTTAAATGAATATGCAAAACGCTTAGGGGGGTGTACTGGGGAGGAGAGCTGAAAATAGCAGGTGCTGGTGGTATGTTCAGGATGAGATTCCAATTCAAATTCACAGGCCCACGTAGGTAGCTGAGAAAACATGGCATTTCAAGCGAGACCTTTACACTGCTTCTGCAAATTTTGCTTAATATGTCCCTCAGAGTAAAAGACTTTAGATATTAACTAATTATCTTAGTTTGTATGTAGCACAATCTGTATTTCATTTAAATCCAATAACAAAATAGTCAAGAAGTGAAAGACTGGTGAACTTTTTTCCCAAAACCATTGGATAAAGTTGGACTTTAAATTAAAAAAATTAATTAAATGAAAAAATTAATTAAAAACAAAAAATAACTTCAAATTCAGTTTAAAATGGGTATCAGTGCAGACTTTTAAAAAGAAAACATTTGAAATGATTGTGCATCAGTTTTATTTTTTAGATCCTATTTTTCCTGGCATTTCCAGTTCTACTTCAACACGTTATACAGCCAAGTCCATGTCAGCTATTATGCTTTTACTGTGAGTTAGCTCAGTAATGCTAAGCCACTGAAAACCCCTGCCTCTTAACTTTGTTCCTAGTGCCAGCCATTGTGAAGAACAAAACCTTTTCCTGGCACATTCACCCTCAGATACTTACTGTTATTATATTTAAGGTTTTTAACTCTGCTAAGAATGAAAGAAATCAAGATTCATTCTTTGAGAGCAGCAGGGACATAGCCAAACCCTCTGCCAGACCATTACTTACTTGGGTTAGGTTGCTAGAGGCTTCTGAAAAGGCAGCAGAAGTCCAAGTTCTCCTGAGTAACTGCAGGCCCTTTCTGAATAAATAAACTACGGCTATTTTAAAAAATTGAAGATTTTGGAGACCATACAGTGTACTTTGTCAAAAACCTTTTTCTGTAGCAGTTTTATAGAGAGCAGCATTGGCAGCTTGTTGCAATAAACTTGTGAGTTGCTCAGACTGTTATTTTTCAGGTAAACAAATCAATTAAATATTTCACCTGAATGGTCTTCAGAAATTGGATTTGGCTTAGGTCACTTTGTTTTTAATCAGGTATTTAACAACTAGAGAATTAAGCAGGTATTTAATAACTAGAGAATGGAAGCATATCCTTTGCACCAATTGTACTCCAGTATCAACTCTTCCCATTTATTATGGGACAGTGTCCATACTTGTTTTCTGAACAAGTATGATTTATGATTTCTTTCTCCTGTGGGAGGGGCCTTGCTTACACCAATGAGTGTAGGCAAAAAAAGGCTCAGTAAAAACAAGTAGAGCATTTAGGGAACTAAGTCCTGTTTACATTAGAAATCAGCTGTATTGTGAAGAGCTTGACTGTAATCTGTTGAAGAAAGAAGTGGCTCACAGGATAGCTGCTCTTCAGCTTTCTAAATGCTGCAATAAGCCACCACATCAAATCCTGAAGAACAGCTACATGTAACACAATTAGTCATAATGATGAAATTGCCAGCATTAATAGTTTCTAAACCACTTTTTACTTTTGGAATTTATCTTTGCTTTCAGTATGTTATGCCAAAAAAAAAAATCTGGATAAATATTATGCTGCTTAAACCAAGCTAAAACGTACCTTTATCAACTGAACTGAGTGTGAAACAAAGGAAATCACATTTAAGTAAAGATGACCAGCGTTCTTCAGGAACATAATACAGTCATCACTGAACATCTCAAAGTCTACTAGCTTGGTTTTCCTTTCCAGTGCATAAACTAACTGCCAGTTCTCCTTGCCACTGGAAGCTACTGGTGCCTTCATCAACTATAAAAAAACCAAACAAACAACCTTGTATTACTAAAATGTACTAAGAGTTACAAATGAGAGGTACAGACTTACAGGTGATCTCATACATTTTTCTTGCAAAAAATACTTATTTGTATTTGGGGTGTTTGCCTGTCTAAAACTGGAGATTTTTAATCTCCCTTTACTTAGGCAAAGTGGAAGAACAATACAGTAACATTTGGAGAAGACAAAGTCTCAAAGAGTACTCTACAGAAGACTGTAATACAATAAGTGCTTTCAGTATGGCCAGCACAGTTGTAGGTAGGTTTGATAACACAAACTGAGATCACCAACTTAAATTTTGGTACAGGGGAAAAGACTGTTGAAGCACAGTCATTTATTGATGCTGTCAAAGGAGTTAGGATAAAACTGGCCTCCTACAGGTGACACTCCATGTAGCACTATCAGTCTTTTTAATCCCTGCAGCTCTCTCTCTTAATTTATTTCAGTAAGCTGTGATGAACAGAATTCAAAGCCAACCTTACTATTTCTATATGACCTGCAATAGGCATCTAAATTAATCCTATGAATGTAATTATCAGTCAAAATTGCCTTATATTCTGCAGGTTCTCCATATGTAGTAAGAATGTACAACTGGTCCTTCCTGTGCTCAATGTGGTACATGAGCCCCGTGGTTCGTGCTTGTACAAGAGCAGGTGACTCAAAGGGATGTCTGCAGTCAACCAGCCAAACTTCTGAGGTTGTCTTGCTGTTGCTGTTGATAGTGAGAAAACGCCTATCTTTTGTGCAATAAAGGTCTACAAAGAATCTGTAGGGAATCATTGAAAAAAAAAAAGGAAAGAAAATCTTAAATTTTATCAGTACTTTAAAATACATCAGTTGTTTCAGAATCATGGGCTTCCATCTGCAAGGTAAGAAAAAACATTTCTGTAAGCAGACTGGAGAAATTTCAGGCTACTTGGCTCCCAGACCCACTTCTCCTGCATTTACCCTGGGATTTAAAACCTTTCAATCTTGTGTGTGAAACCTGAAATCTGCAAGGAAAGCAATTTAGTTGTTGTCCAACTAAATCCAGGTTTTTGTATCATTGAGCTAGACTAGAAGCTCGTTTATGCATACAGGCTTTAAAATTCAGGCAAAATGTAGATCTTTTTGTTGAACTTGTAACCCTATTTAAAATTTAAAAAGTAGTAATGGATAGTTAAAATAATAAATGACATCATGTGGGAACAGCAATAACAAAAGTAAGAGCTATTAAAAGATAAATTCATAAAATGTCTATGTGCTACTGACCTAACTGTCTGAAGCAAATAAGACAAAAAGTACTGTTTAGAAAGAAAAAAAAGCACAGAGGCTTATATGAGGCAAGATGGGCAGTGTTGGAGTGATAAAACTGGAAACCAGGCACTGGTTTTGGAACTAAGAAACTAGAAACTACATACTGGATTTAAATCTGTCTGAAATCTAGAAACAGAAAGCAGAGTGATAAACAGTACCTGGATGCTAATAGTAGAAAAGTTCAGGCTGAAATTCAGATTCAAATTTCTGTGAGTCATCTGAATTAACTGGAATGTCACATCTTGGATCAGAACAGTCTCTTTGCCATTTTGGACCCTTTAGATTGGATGTCTCTAAATGCAAAACTGTCCAACACCAAGATCCAGATTCCATCAAGAAAATTTAGGGTTGAGTACCATAATCTGCATCACACAGATCAGATGAATGGCTGCAATGATGATATCTCTAGGATTCAGAGTATTTGACTGGTGAAGAAAAGGATGCTTTAGATAGTATTTTCAGTGCCTTTAATTATTTGCAGGTGGAGGATCTCAAATTTTTTTGGTACTATTGTTTTTTCTAATTGCACCCTCTTGACATCTTTAGGACAGGCACAGAGGGGGAAGCTAAAGTCTGCAAGAAAAATCAGCCTCCTGCCTGTCTAATACCCATAAATTGGCAAGAATGTAGCACTGCATTCAGTAGAGATTCCAAGAGTTCAGCTCTGCTGATCCTGCCTCTAAGGGGGTTGAGCTGAAATGCATATTACACTTCTCCCCAAGGATTATGACCTTGATATTACTTTTTTTTAAATCTTTGTAGCTTAAAAAAAAAAAAAAAGGAAAATTTCAGCTTCTAAAAAAAGGTTTGATTGCAACTAGAAGGGCTGGTGAGATACAGAAGTGCTCAATGGCAATACAAAAGAATGTCCTGCCATCTCCGATGAAGGAGTTCAGCTATGAGCTGCAGTAGCACATGAACCTTTAGAGTAAGTTTCTAGTAGATCTACTGTAATGACTGTGACCTTCAGAATTATGCCAACAGTTTCCCTGTGGGGAAGTGCCAGGTCAGTGCAACTTGATTTTCCAAAACGATGCATCAAATGCAGCTGGAAAAAAAAGATCTTATTTATTCCATCTCCATTGCAGATTTTTTTTGTTTTCTTTTTTTTCTGGTGAAAGTATAATAGGCATTTCTTTACTGAATATGTAACTTAAGAATAATCACAAATATTTATGCAATGCTGTATAAATATACCATGTGCTACAATGCTGAAAAGCTAGTTCTGTGCTCAATTTAGCAAAGAGCCTTCTTGTCTTCCTAAACCGCTGCTTAAAGAAAGGTTATTGAGAGGGTATTCAGTCAACAATAGTTCTGTCTCTTGGAATGTTGTAATGATTTTGCTCATCCATTACCCAGAGCAAGGATTAGCCTGAACTTATGTATTTTTTTTAAAAGATTTATCAGACATCAATAGCAGAGAAAACAAAATGAAATCCACAGTCTGATTTACCCTGTATGAAACTGTCACCCATTCATTAAAGGACACCCTGACCTGAGAGTGACCTTGACATTTATAAACTCAGCTGAACTCATGAGGTAAGAGAGGAAAGTTTAATCTCTGTTGATCACATATCAAAAGGAGAACAGAGCACATTCTCAGGCCATACAAGGCACTACTGACTGTAGAACACAAAAATGCATTTTACTATTTGAAATATAATATAGACCACTTTGTTTTCCAAACCAGCTATATTTTACATATAAAATACTCTAAAATATGTAAAGGACTTGTTATATTTTAGGTATGTATTACCTTGCATCTTGTTCTGTATAAACTAGCTTAGTATGTTTCTGGTAAGTGAAAGTGGTCATGAATACATTCTGGCATTTAAGGTTCTTCTGAGGTGTGTAATACAGAACATCATTTGCAGCCCATTCTGCAAAAAAAGAAAAATGCATATCAAATTCAGAGAGAAGATATTACTGAAGGAAGATGGGACTTCCTTGGACACTGTGGACACTGGACCCAGTGCTGCAAAAGGTGGGTTGCAGGTGGCTTGGAACTGAGGACAGCACTTGTGCATCCTGTGGGGACTGAGGTAAGAGCCAAAAGGTTTTTCCATATTTTCTCTGAATACCACAGAACAAGAATCTCATAATGCATTGAAAAAAAAGCAAAAAAAAGCCGAGGTCAATTTTGCAGGGCCCAGTAATAGGAAGCTGTTGACTCTTTGTGGGTTCTGGAGGTAACAGGAAAATAGGAAACGTGGCTGTTTAAAACAGCAGAGAAAAACTGGTTTACATGGAGTCAGCAAGACAATAAAGACATCATAAGCTCTGCACTGCTGCATGTGACTGCACACAAGCCATTCAGAGAAAAGAGATGATGCATGTGCCCCATGGGTACTGCTGAGATAAAAATTCTCCACTTTTCTATGCTTGTGTATGTGCTCACCAACATAGAAAGGCATAAATACAGGAACTTTGTTATTCTGAAGTTATTCTGCCTGATCCAGCCACATTCCTGCCACCTCTGCTGCTCCTATGGCCAACAGAATGATGTTTAACACACGTGCTTTTAAAAGCTGCTGTATGTGTCTTATGCATAAATACGGATTTTCAGTACAAACCCTGAGGAATTCATAACACCAAATAACACAAACACTTTGCTTTCTGAACAGCAATGTGGCTCCAAAGTGCACAGGTGGCTGAGGACTCACTATGAAGACAAGCCTTTGGAGGGCAAGTCTAGACTTTTCTATAGCCTAGCCTATAGACAAATCAAGGTGTAAATTTTTAAGAACTTTTGTTTGTCTCCCTGCTATTTTATATCACTCAATACAAGCCCATAAACTTTGCAAATTGTTTTAAGACCTAATTCTTTTGCTCATGATTGAGGCACCTCTTTGCTTCATTGCACTACTGCTGTACCTCACTAACACCTGACTTACTTTTACAGGTTACTTTTACACACCTTGCCTTACCTTTACCTTTTACAGAATTTACCATTCTGTTAGTCATCTTTTGTACTCTTATTACCTGTCACACCTATCTAGGCAACGGGATGTTGGTCTCTTAACTGTACTGGTTCTTCTGGATCAACCTAGATAGATGTTCAAATCAAGTATGCTGTAAAATGTCATTGGCAAATTTGCATGTTTATTTTTCAACAGGTATTATAATCTTCAGTGTGGAAACACAGCACTAAATTCTTGCTACTCCTCATTTTTTTAAACAAGGAAGGTTTACATGGAATTTTATTTTTTTTGCTCTGCCCAGGCAAATTGCTTACTGCACTAGATATACTTGATGACATCTAGCAATATAATCCAAAGTACAAGATGTGGAACACTGTATACATACTATTATACTGTTTTTGCTATATTCTTTATTAGACTATAAAAAAAGAATGTTTTCCCATTCACTTCCATTTATCTCTGCTTCTTTTAACAGCAATGTAAAGCTCTGTAATCTATTCTGAAGGAATTGATTCAAGGCCTGGCTGACTTCTCTGGGCTCTGCAGTGTGACCCACATTGTGGATTCCAGTTGAAATTCCAGCCAATACTCACTGGTAGGTAGTACTTCCACACTTTTCAAACAAAGCTAGCTGTCTACAGCTACCAGTGACTTCAGTTGTATCTGCAAGGGTTTACCAACTAGAACATCCCTCAAAACCATCTTTATATGACAAACTGTCACATCACTGTATTTTGAATATAGCATATTGGATTCAATGGAAAAAATTATGACTGTTGTAATGTGTATAAATACTTTTGCAATGAAGGACAATTTGTATCCAGGAAGCAGTCCCTTTCATCCATGTCAGACAGCCTGTAATCATGCAGCATTAAAGAAACCATAAGAAAAAATTCAACATTTATAAGGATTAAATGTTGCCTTCATTTAAAAAAAAAATATTACCTTTAAACTAAAAAAAGATGTTGTGCTGAAAGCTTGTGTGATCCACAGGATATTTATAAATGACTTACCAAAGCTAAATACACTTGGAATTACTTTTTCCACTACAGGAAGATTACCAAGTTTCATAATAATGCAGGTTGCCTCTTCAGAATTTTCACTTTTTAAGCTGATAGCCATGTATCTCTGATCGGGTGAAATTCTGATCCGTTGAATAAAGGCATCAGAAAAGCCAAGATCTTCAATACTGAATAAAATCTTAGCATTTCCCTCACCTATTACATAGGAAAAAGAGATAGCAAAAAATCCTGTAGTTAAAACACTGTCAAATGAATGGTGATTTTTAATGTCTGTATTCAACAAATCTGTCTCAAATATTCACAAACATTCAACAAATACCTGTCTTGCAAGATATCTGCAAATGCACTTTGTAAAAATAAACAAAAAATTACAGTTCCAAGGAAAAAAGTCCTGTAGTTATTACTAAAAATATTTCAAAAGTGTAGATCTTGGCTTCTGCTAAACCTATTGAATTTTAAAGCTCAGATAGCTAAAGGGTGGTTGTTTTTAATAAATAAAATTTAAAATTCTTTCAACTCCTTTCAGAAATAAAAAAGCATGGATGTTCTTTTCCTTTCTTCAAAATGTTAAGTTAGGGCTCTGCAAAGAAGTGTCTTATCTCTTTCCTCTCCAGCAACTCGCCTTAGTATCAATATAGATACTATTCTCTAACTGTCTTTACCTCACATTTTCAGATGCAGGATTCTAAAATTATTACTTGAGTACAGAATTGTATAAAAGTATTTTTAGTTAAGAAACAGACAAGTTAAGCATTAATGCAAGAAAAGAACACTAAGTGATACATGTATACGTTTTTAAAGAATCCTTCCATATTAGGAAGAGAAATCCCTTACCATCATCTGCTTTTGCAAGAAATATGCAGCCATTCTCTTCAAAGTACACATTTTCTCCAAACCTTATCTGTTCAATACAAAGAAAAATATTTCAAGTCCAGCATGCTATTTCCTTTGAATACCTATACAGTAATTTTTCTGTACAGCAGAAGTGTAACAAATGACAGAACATATATTCCATACTGAAGAAGGAATTGCATACATCACAAAGGTTTTTTCAGTTAGGGTACTTAAGCTACCTCTACCTGCTCTAAATTTCACAGAAGGCTCAGATCACCTGCAACTGCTCTTGCAACTTACAATGTTGTGTATTCTTTATCCAAAAGTCAGATGATTATTTTACCTTTATTTGCTTTTGCCTATGGAGAAATTATGGTAAATTCACTGTCATAACAAGTATAAACTGTTCTAAACACAAACTGTTACTACGTACAATTATTCAAATATTCAAAATTTTTACTGTAAAAAATGAGTAAACCAGCATTTTATAGCAGGAACAGCTTCACTGTCTTTTATTGTATTCAGTGATGGGAAATGTTTGTATTGTTTACCACTTACCCTTGGGCTTCCTGAATTGAGTGTATACATGTTGTGCAATTCCTCCAGTTTTTCTTTGATCCTCTTTGTCATAGCTTTGTATCTTGGTGAAATGCTATTCCAGTTTTTCTGCTCTGATTTCAGAAGGTTCTTGTGCAAAAGTTCTGAAGTTACCATGGATGTATTTTGCTTCCTTTTGGAAAGGACTTTTGTTCCTTCCTGCTAAGTAAGGAAAGACAACAATGGCTACAAGACAGCACTCTGCACACCAATCTGAATACACTGAGGTAATATCCCCTGAGCCACAAGCCCAAAATCACCTTTGTGTTATTACAAAAGTATATGACAGTAAAAAAAAAAAACAAACAAACAGTAGTTGATATGTGTTTTATTTTAACTCTTCCTGATCTTTGGGGAGGCACTATGAAACGTGTTTTACTCAACACATTGAGGTCTTCTCTCCAAAATTTAGGGTGCTATTAATATATGCTCTTAATTGATTATAAGTAAATATGTTTGTTCCTGTTCTAGAACTAGGATTTACTTTTTATGGAATTCTATTACTTTTCCTTCTTCACAGCTTTCTTTCATAATGTCCTGTCTTTTGAGTGTAATTTCTCGTTTCCTTTCCTAGACAACAGCATCCACACCTCTGTCCCTGTACCTCGGAGTCCCAGCAGCTCATTCAGGTTTTGCTCCACCTCCTCAGAAGTGTTAATATATTCATAAGGTGCAGAATGAAGTGGACTGATATGGGTTCCACAAGAATTTTATCAGGAATAAGTTTAAGGATCTGGTTTTCCATTAAATGTGAGATCACTGCCAACCAAGCTGTCTTCTGTTGTAAAAAATGTTAAAAGTGTGTTAAAACTGCTAGAACAATGCCACTTCCTCTTGCATGCTGTGAAATCTCACTTGATCAAGTAGTAAGCTTCACAACTTATATTACACTACCTAATACTGCACAGACCACACAAAGTGGCATTTTGTAACATTCAATGTATGATTTGAATGCGTCTAAGCTTAAAAAGCAGCCTGTGCTTCATATCCTGTCCCCACTTTCCATTAAGGAATGTTGGTTTGTTCCTAGTTTGTCTTCAGAAACACAACCAAATGTGAATGTTCCAAGTTGACTCTGAAGGGAAACCATCTGCTCCAGTAACCAAACTCCCTATGAACATAAAACATATAATTGCTGAGAACTGAGAGTGTTCTATTTTAATATGATGGAAACCATGACCTTACTGGTCAGCACAGGAAAGTCAAGTGTTTTTTGAGACAGGTCAGTTTGTTATCATCAGTTTGGACACTTCACCTCTACACTATCTGATCTCTCCCTGCAGTTTTCTCCTGACGCTTTACCTAAGTCTAGAAGATACCAATTTTTTCAAAATTACAATAGCCGGAAAATCAACCAAAATGCAGCTTTATGTCAAAACAGCATAGGAAAGCTGAACAATGGTACATGCCCTCGAATGTAACTGATATCCTGGACTTTATTCCTCTGCTTAAAATCCTGTGGGAAATATATATTTCTTCAACATGTAAAAAGTGTGACTGGATCCCTTATCAGATGTGCCAAGGTGGTTGCTGGTATTAGGCCTGTATTTAATAGCATACCTTGCAGGAAAAGAATCTGCACGGCAGGATGCTTCCAGGTGGTGCAGTCCTGTGGGTGCATGTGCTTTTTGAACAGCCCAGGATGTGGCACTTTTTTGGAGCAATTTTACTGAAAAGACACACTGTTTGAGGAGAGTTATGCTTAGAGTAGTACTTGGCACTGAAGCTCAGCCCTTGGAGAAGATTCCGCAGTCCAGCACAGCACATCGTAGCCTTCATTTCGTGAAAAATTCTGAAACATTCGTGAAATTCTGAACATCCCGAACTGCCGATCATTTACACTGTGCGTGTGAAATACACATAAAGTAAACAGCAGGTGTAAATATACATACATACAGAGGAAACAGACATAGCGTTAACTTCCTCTTCCAAAGAAATGTGACTGATTCACTAGGTAAATCAAACGAGAATAAGTAAAACTTTGTCTGTTAACAACTGGCGCCCACATTTTAACCTGAACATTCCGGGCGGCCCAAAGTTTAACTCCAATGAAACTATGCGGGGAAGGGGAGCTGCAACCGCGCACGTCCAAACGCTGAAGGACAGAACACTGGGGAAGTCTGGAGAAGTCGTCCCCCCTCAGTTCCCCATCATGTAACACCAAACCCACGCTCTCTCCTGAGGCAGCAGCAGCCGAACCCCGTTCGCAGGAACACTGCAGGGGACGGGCCCCCCGTGTCCGGGCGACCCGGCGCGGCCCCGCTCCCCGCCGGCGCTGCCCGCCCGTCCGCCCGGGGCCCGCGCAAGGACTCGCCGTGGCGCTGCCGCCGCTGCCGCTCCCGCCGGGCCGGGCTGCCCGGGATCAGAGGCCGGCCGGGCAGAAGGCAGCGCTCCCGGGGGCGCTGCCCGTCACTAAGATGGCGGCAGGGCGCTTCAGCAGCGCCGCTGATGTCAGCGCCGGGGCGCGGAGCCACGGCGGGGCGGGCACGCTCCCTGGGGCGGCTTTCCCGGGTGGCCGCCGTGCCACACCCAGTCCCGTCCCCGGGCGCGGTGGCCACGGGCGACTTGTCTTGAGGCGCACTCACGCCGTGCCGGGCCTGAAGAGCAGCGCGCTTCCTCTCGGCCGCCGAGAGTCGCTCCGGCGCTGCCCTTAGCAAAGATGGCCGCGCCCCTCCTCCCGCTCCATCCCTAGCCCGGCCGGTCCCGCAGCCGCTGGATGCTCAGCGGCGCTGCCCCGCCGCCCAAGGCACCGCTCCCTCCCTCCCTCTCTCCCTCTCTCCCGCCGCGCCAGCTCCCGGCGCTCCCGCCGCCGCATGGCCGAGGCTACAGGCTCCCCGCGCTGCCCCGCCGCGGGCAGATGCGGGGCGAGCGGCGCGGCAGCGGCCCGAGCCCGCTGGCGGCTGCTCGGACAGGTAGGGGGAGCCCGCGGGCGGGGGGCGGCATGGCGGGCGGGAGGGCGGCGGCGCAGCCTGAGGGCAGCGCGGGGCTCGCCCTGTTCCCTTGGGCCCGGCTGTGCCCCGGCGGCGGTGCGGCGGGTCCTGCACCCCTACAGGAGTATTGCGAGCTATACTATGGCGGGTCATGTAAAGGGGCTTGCAGCACTCTCCCCGGAAAATATGATAATAAAAAGATGTACATATATGTATATGCACCGAGGGAAGCGGAGGGGCAGGCACCGATCACTTCACTCTCGTGACCGGTGACAGGACTTCAGGGAATGGCCTGAAGTTGTGCAAGAGAGGTCTAGGTGGGATGTGAGAATAAGGTTTTTCATCCAGAGGATGGCTGGCACTGGAACAGGCTCCCCAGGGAAGTGGTGTCTGGCAAGCCTGATAGGATTGAAGCCTGATAGAGTTTGGACAATGCTCTGAGACGCACAGTGTGACTCTTGCAGTGTCCTGTGCAGGGCCTGGTTGGACTCGATGGTCCTGATGGGTCCTTTCCAACTCAGCTTGTTCTGTGATTTTTTGATTCTAAAGTGTGCCTTCAGTAGATCCCCAAAACTGTCCATGGCCTGTGTTAAGGGAGGAGGACCAGCACCCCACTGGCACCCCCACCCCTGAGGGCACCTTGGGATTTTCAGGCCATGGTTTGACACCTTCCATCGATGCCACTGGGGTTGATTGTTGTGGCTGACACCTCATTCTTGCTCCTTGCTCCCTACCCCCCAGACTGCCTTTGGTGGGGAGCTGGGGCAAGACCCCGCTCGCCTGGCAGTGAAAGCTGCATTTTGCTGAGGGGCTGTGCCTGGAGGAAGGTGAGGAGGAAGAAGGAGCAAGTGGTGACACCTGTGCTGTGGTAAACAGCAGCTCCTCAGCTGCGGCCCTCCACACTGTTTTAGACCCTTTCAGAGCAGTGCAAAGTCGGAAAGGATTCCTCTTCAGATGAGTGTAGGCATAAAGGCTTAAAAATTCTAGTCAGTTTCAGTGGCTGTTTTTGTTATGGGATGTGAAATTTACAGCCCTCACTTGAGTGTTTGTTTCTGTGTTTGTTTCTGTCCTTTCAGAGGACATCTGGAGCCGCCTGTGGACAGCTGTCCCTGAGAGGGCAGAGGGGTGGCACTCAGTCAGTGGTGGCAGCCGGGTTGGAAGGGGCACCTGGCTGCAGCTGGGTCACGGTGGGAGGCCTGGGGACATCAATATTGCACTTTGTGTGTGCTTTTGGTTTCAAAATTTGCCAGTCCTGTTCTAGCAGCCTAAATAAGCTGCACTCTGTGGCTGTACTAGCTGTTATTTCTTCTCAACATATACTGCCTTTGCTATACTCCTGTCTCTTAAAATCATAAGGAGCTTTTCATAACAATACGGTGGGGTTGTGGAAGAGTGCATGTAGGTATTTGGGGAGAAGGCTTCTCTTTTTTTCTCAAACTACATGTATCTGTGACCTTTACCTCTGCAGATTCTCTTGGTTTTTCCATGTTCTTTCGCTTTTCTCTTGATTTTTATATGGTACAATGAGCAAGGATCAATTTAATCTTACTGGTACATCTGAAGTAAAAATCAGTTCTGTGCTCTTTGCTACAGTGGTGCTCAGATCTATCTATGGATTGGAAGAAGGTATCAACCTCCCTTTAAATCCGTTTTTAAAGGAGCACTGTCAAAGTGTTTCTTACAGTGCTTTTAAAAGCACTTTTCATACAGCTTATAATAACGCCTTACGTGAAATCAGTTCTGTGGTGTGTTTATATCTTGAATTTGCTTTCATTCAATGCACACACAAATTGATTTACTATGGTAAGGATGCTTGAGTGCATGCTCGCTGATTTAATTCAGAAAAAAAAGCCCTTTTATGAGGTATCCTATGAAGCTAGCATAAAGAAGCAGGGGTTTGCATAATTACCTGTGTGCTCTTTGTCAATGAAATGTTTTATGTATGCACTGAGTTTGAAGTTTGACAATATTTTTAAACTTAGTCTGTCAGAATCAAGAAAAGTATTTTTTGCATTTGAAAAAATGCTAAGGGAAGTTACCCATTTACTGTGCATTTGCTAATGACTGGATAAGTTCTCTAGGGCTATGTTTTGAACTCTGCCAGTCTCTGTGGCTGAAGGCATTATCCAGTCAGGAGTTTTCAGCAGGGAAGTTAGAGCAACTGGCATGCTTTAGGTTCCTCCCCATATGTACATTTGCTCCCTAGAGAAAGTTTCATGAAATCTGTAGCTTTTTTAATTTATCCTGCCTGTTACCTTCCTCTTGCTGTTCTCACACAAGTCTCAGAATCACAGATTATGCTGAGCAGGAAAGGAGGCACAAGGATCATCAAGTTCAGCTCCTGGCCCTGCACAGGGCCATCCCCAAGAGCCACACCACATGCCTGAGAGTGTGTTGTCACCTGCTAATGTACTTTTAACTTCTAAAATTGAAAAATAAAAGCTAAAGTGAGGACAGGTCAGTGACACTTCTTTTCCTGAACAGAAGCATTTCTAACACTAATTTTCATCTCTTCCTGCTCTTCTCTCTGTGAAGGGTGCCTGTGCTTCAGATCTTTTTTCCATGTTTTTGTTAGTCTTGAGTTTGTAAATTATTTACAATTGGATAAAACAATTTGGTAAACAAATTATTTGTAAAAATAAATTCTATAGTCCTATGGATGATATTTAAGAGTGCAGTTACAGGTTATGTTGTAGTTGATTGTGTAGAAACTTTCTTGCATGTACAAATACCATGTTGCAGTCACTGCCAGAGAACTGGCAGAGGTTTGTAGACCATGAGCTGTTACTGAATTGGGCTCTTAGTGTAACTAGGCCTAACACAAGGATGTACAAGTACAGGGAAATTCAGGTGACTGCCTTTCTCCATGTTGTTTGTGGGAGATTCTTTTCTGGTCAGGTTTTTTTAAAGAGATATCAACCAGTTTTATGTTTTATAGGAAGTCCTAAACATGGTACTAATACTGCGATTAAACCAAGGGCATTGAAATTATGATCTGTGGTAATATTTTACCAGAATCTTTGTAGAACATTTTTGGTGATGAGTTAAGATAGGTTTGTCACCTTTTGTTTTTATCAGTGGGTTATTCTATAGAAGCAATTTATCTTTGTTCCCTATTTAACATAACTGTGGTCCTTTAAGAAATAGACTTGAGAAAAAACCTCCTTTGATCCATATGTAAAAAGTACAGAGTTAGATATAAATGATGTAACATATTCTCCATTTGTGCTATTTTCTCAGTTATACATAGGGTTTTAAAATATTTGATCTGCTGTTGTAATTTTCAGATATTAGACCACTTGATTTTTGTTGGAGGCTGTGGGAAAAATGTTCTTTTGAGTATTCAAATGCTCATAAGATTTTCTGCTAACCCAGAGAATTAATTTAACTTTTACAGAGTGGCTATAAGATGTCTCTGGACAACAAAAACTGAAAATAGGAAAGTGTTGTTGCCACTGTATTTTTTTTTTTCCTGTTAGTAATGGCTTGCTATTGCTTTAAAGGAGTCCCCAAACAACACACTTTTCTGAAAATTAGGTCTTGCTGGTTTTCTTTAGTTGTCAAGATAGTCCATTTTGTTTTCAGGCACACAGCTATTACATGAAGGTCTTAATTTTGCTGGTCTTTTAATTTTGTTCTCCTGCTTTGATATTTTTGCATTTTTCCTTCATGTGTGTATTTTTCTCACGTGTTACAAGGTAGTGTGGACAGCACCCAGACATTTTTAATACTTCATGGAAAATGCCTCTCATATGATGAGACCTGCCAATGAAAATAGCTCCAAAAGCAGTAAGCCTGATGTCTCAGACCTGCTGTTAACTACCAAAAGTGTAGCAAATACAATTGCTCTGCTCACATGTGTAGTACTTCCAGATATCCTGCAAAATAATGTCATGGCCCCAAACTGTAAGGCTTTTAAATGGGAGTACATTTTCAGTTAAAGCATGTTAACACACGTTGTGTACAGCAAAAAAATATCACTGACCCATTATTTTTTTTGTACACATCTTGTATGCAAAGCTTTCAAGTTTCATAATTCTGGAGAGCTGTTTCTCATTTGACTTATCTCTAGGTGACAAAAACCTGTAAATTGCTGTCCTACTCAATGGAGCTCTTCCTTGTACCCCTATCAATTTATAGGCATGAGTTTATTTTCTGGTCTGGTTTTTTTGTTTGTTTGTTTGTTTTGGTTTTTTTTTTTGTTGTTTTTAATCCATTACTGGGGACTGCATATGCACCTTAATTTTAAAAATGCAATGGCAATTACTTATGTATTCTCTCCAATGTTAGGA